CAGGCCTGAGTCCGAGCACGCTCTTGCTCCAGCGACTCAGAGCTGTGGACTCCTAAAGAGCATAACTGATCCTGCGCCTCAGCTAGTCTCCAACTTGAGACGATCGAGGCCTTCACACAGCGCTGCTGACTTTGGCATAGCGATGCCATGGGACAATCACAGAGGTTTGATGATGCTGGCTGGTTTGAGGTAAATGGAAAGCAAATGACTACTGTTAAAAAATAAATAAATCAGCTAGCACTTGTTAGCAATACAATAAATGAATAAAATTCAAGAGGTTTTGCACTTCAATCAAAGCCCAAAATCTTTATGCCAAGTTTGAAATTTAGCAACATATTCCTCAGAAAGTTATTCTGAACATCTTTTCTGGGGTGGCAGTAGATCAGTTCTTCTACTAACCAGAGGGTTGGTGGTTCAATCCAGTCTGCATGGCAAGATACCGAACCCCAAATTGCTCTACCATGGATTCATCAGCAGTGTTGGGACTAACGCATTATTAAGTAACGCGTTACAGTAACTACGTTATTATTGTGGTAACGAGCACGGTAACTAGTTATTATGCCAAAACCAGGAACGCGTTACTCGTTACTGGGATTTAGATAGGCTCGTTATTCGTTACTTCGCGTGGTGGCTATCGCGGAGCTTCCACAGATTCAATAACATTAGCAAGTGGTGGAGGCCAGCAGGTGGATGAAGGAAAAGGGAGGCAAGAGGAGAGACCCGAAGCAGCCACTGGTCCGAGTGTGAACTGAACTTCAGGTAAGAAGTTACCTGCAGTCTCTCTGGGTCAGATATAAACCAAGTTTAGTTGGAGTTTATTTTCGTTGTGCTGACTTTTTCGTACTGCGTGCTAGCTAGCATGACGGAGTTTCTATACAGCTGGGTGGGTGCTATGTTACTGATGTTGAACTTTATTTTGTTCATAAGGTTAATTATTAGAGTTGCCGACCGTCCCGTAAAAAACGGAATCGTCTGGTATTCAGAGAAAATATTACGCGTTTCTTATTGAGGTGAAAAGGAACAGTTTGTCCCGGACTTCAGCTACAATGAAAAAGACACAAAGCTGGAGTTATTCTGTGTTTACGCTGCACAGCTGCCTCTTCTTCTCTCACCCTCCCTCTCCTGTTTCTACTTCAATCATGAAACTGATCAGTGATCAGCTGATCAGCTTTTCTCTCTTGTTTGTTTATCGCCCACTTTGTGCCAGAAAGAGGAAACCAGCGGATGTCGCGGTAAACAACAGCAGCACGTTTAAGCTTGATCAGCTGTTGTTAGAATTTATTTAATATTAATTTCTAGTATCAGCTGATGTTTGCTGGAGCCACGGCTTTAAAGCTGCTGGCCATGATGTCGGTTTGAATATGTGGTGAGAGGGAAACATGAAGATGAAACCAGGAGATGTCCTTACTGGATCATCAAAGCTGTGATGGAGAAACAGGTTTACCTTTTAGGTGACATGAATGAGTTGAAGGGAAGTTATGAACTGTTTCTGAGAGAAAAATAACACCAGGATCCTTTTCTATGTAGCTGACAGCTGGTAACTGTGCAGGGGCGGATCTAGTAAAGTGTTGCCAGGGGTCCATGTAGGGAATTAAAAGGGAAAGGGGGGCACAAGGAAATATTTTCTTATTCTCATTTAAAATGTCTCACTTTAAAAAAAATAATTATCCGAGTCTTACAACAAACAATTGATAGATTGATACATATATACCATCAGAACAGTGTACATCACTGTCACAACAGCGTTTATTTTCATTCAAAGCCTTTATGATTTTTCCTACAATGGTGGGCCGGTCTCTAGTCAAAATGCCCAGGACGATTTTTTTGTCCCAGTCCAGCCCTGTATGCAGCTCATCTGCAGTCTGGTGTTACCTACATCTTCCTATTCAGAAGGCAGAATTTCCGAGTTCTGAGTACAATCGAAAGCACCACGACTGCAGTTTTTGTGTTGGATGTAAAAAGCAGGCTAGGATAGAATCAGGCGTGGGATTTCTCTCGTGGAAATGTGCACATTATTTTTTCCTTTCTATTGGTAGGTGGCACAGTGCACTTGTGGCAAGTAAGCAAGCTAGAAGACTGGCAATCTTGCTGGGTATCCAGTTACGGAAGCAACACATTAACAAGAGAATTCTGAGTAAAACCAAAGTGACTTTCCCTAGTAACTAGTTACTCTGAAAGTAACAAGTAACTTGAAGTAACTGAGTTACTTTTGATAGAACTAGTAATGTAACTAAGTTACTAATTTAAAGTAACTTACCCAACACTGTTCATCAGAGTATGAATGTGTGTGCACTTAGGTGTACAAGAAAAGTGTTTGTGTGGAGGAATGAAGCAAGTTGTATAAAGCTCTATAAGTGCTCAAGTAGAGATAGTCCATTTACAATTTACCATGAAATGACTCTCTCTGAGTGGTAAATGAGGTGATCACCTAAAAACTGAGGGATGACTCTGCATCACACACTAAATGTAGTTCATTAGCTTTTAAGCTTTCACGACCGCAGTCAAGCTGCGTTTAGCTTAAGGTGGAGCATGAGGGTTAAAAATAAATAAACGCTTGTTTCCACTTCACCAGTGCTCGCATGCCTTCTCTGCTAGCTAGTAATCACACACAGCTGTCAGTGTGCGCATATTTGAGTCGGGGGGGTTGTTACTTCCCGTTATGGCCTCTGATCCCATCAACCATCCCACCTAGGGGGTATTTCTTCCCAACCCTGATTTCAGTGGTGTACTGACAAGATAATGACGCAGCGAGTAATCTGATTACCCTATAAGCATGAGCTAAAGTAGAATAGTTATTGGGCAACTGCGGGTTAGCAGCGTGAACACTGACATTTAACACTAAACTAACTGGTAAAATATTCCGTTGTTGTGTAGGGTGGAAACTGTGCTTCAGAATAACAGAAAATGTTATAACATGCACACTCCAGCTATCTCCAACAGTATTCGCTTGTTAGAATACCGTTAAGCACATCTTGCATGAGATAACTTAAAGGCCTTACCTTTTGGTGAGGGTAAAGACCACTAAAGCCTCCGGCCGTTGAAAGTGACTCACTGCTGGGCTCTTCGCTGTGGTGAAGTGAGTCTCCGTTGCCCAGCCACTCCATAACTGCTAAGCAACTAGCTGGTTAGCTCTGCTGTGACAGTGAGACCCGCTAGCTAATGCTAGCCGTGTTTGAGGAGCCACAGACAGTGTTGCTCTTTATATTCAGCCGCCTCACGAGATTTATGTGGGATCTAAATACCTGTGTGACAGCCAACAGAACAGAAAAGGGGATATGATGCATAAAAAAAATCACTCCTGCTCCTGTGGATGATAGTGTAACAACAACAACCACCACCACTGTGTTCTGGCTACGTCCCTTTTTCTTTTTTTAAGTGGTGACGCAAGGGACACGTGGGGAGCAACTTTAATGACGTGAAGCACTCAGAAGTTTTTCTACTGACTTCTGTTGCGTTCCAGTAAATTCTGCTATAAGGATGCTTTCTTATAGCAGAAGTAAGTTACTCTTAACTAGAAACTCAATTTTTAAAAAAAAAGGGAAATTGTACAGATGGTCACGACATATCTGGGTGTTTCCGCAATTATTTCTGACATCAAAGTTATTCAATATTCAAACTTTAATAAGTCATTGATACTGTAAAGACGCTTGGATAAATTTGAAAGGAATGATTGTGTGATTGAGGAAAAAATATTATTCAATATATTGGCTGAGTTTTTGTATTTCTTACGCCCTACCAAAGGAAAAAAAATGTAAATTTTGAATAGTACATTTAGTACCTTCATTTCTTTACATTTTCCTTGCAAAATTGGAAATGGGTTCAGTCATTTATTGAAACATTTGTAAACATACATAGAAATACAAGTTCATTAGAATCATTCATTAAATGTATCGATTTAAAGGTTAATATTTGCAAAGATCCCCTGTTCATCTGCAGTAGGTAGATTTTTTTGTCCTTCACCTGTCTAGTTTCTTCAGATTTGTTAGACACCCTGTAGACCACGCCAATATATGCCGTTTTCAGCTAATAGCTCTTTGGTATCATTTTGCAAAAATCCTGTGTTATCTATTTACCACGGATGACCCTGAAAGGCCAAACGGACTGCAACTTAAGTACTTGCGTACTGATGACGGATTTTTAGGCTAATAGTTAGGCTAACACACGTACCTCTCATCTTTTATTTCCTCACAAAACCAATAGATCCTCCACTTCTTTTAAGTGTCTGCCAGCGCAATTCTTAGCATATTTTGGTTCCTGCACCGGGTCCGTCCGTCGCCCCCGCCCCCCTAATGATCAAATAGAAAAACTGGACTGAAAATGTGTGAAAAAAAAACAACCGAAGTACAATGTACAAATACAAGGTAATATTGGTGACCAGTATAACGACAAATATATGACCAAACCTCAACGTTGAAACAATTAAGAAACCCTAAAATCCTCAGTTTATCTCTTTGTCAGTGAAAGAACAAATCGGCGTCATTGTGTGTAGCATCTTCTGGAGTATTAATGGCAGTGATTGAAAATGTCTACAATTTCAGGAGTGTGCAGTTACACATTAATATGTGTGGAAGGTTAACTGCAAGAGATTGGACAGGATTCATATTATTATACCTTCCCTACTCCAGTTTGTTGACAGACCACGCTGCTGCGATACAGAAAACATAAAAGCCACTACACAGGTTAGAAAAAGGAAAAATATTACCTACTCATTCTGATTGCCATGTTACGGGCAATTTAAAAATGTAGTAAACAGAAGACTGTTTTGCATAGACATTTGCAAGAATGGATCAAAGCATCAAATTTGTGCAAAAAGAAATAAAAAAAATGCTTATATTGTGTAACTAAGCCACTTAATTATGTGGAAGATGAACAAAAAGTTTTAATTCTTTTTTGTGTTAAATTGCGTACTGTGACCGGACGGTGGCGGTAGTGTACTTTAAACTGCCAGGACAGACCCCCACAGAAAAGACAGAGCAAGAATATCGTTGTGCAATTTTTCTCCCTAGTTTCAGTTTACAGGCAGCATTACCTAATTGGACTCGTACCGTTTTAAGTCAGCTCCGTATACATAGAGTCTGCTGTTACATATTCAGGTTTGTAGTTGGAGCTCTGGCATGATTTATCAGTTATGGTGTGTGAATATGTGGCAAAAAAACACCAAATGCATGTATAGTTTAAAAGGAAGCGCCGCCTAAGACCAACTTATGGGCGAAATTGGCCCACAAGCGGACCAAACAAACTGATTATAATGCATTAACGCGAAGCTACAAGCGAGCTGGCTTACTTGACGTTTGCTAACTGTATAAAACTGGTGAGTATATTCGTGTCGATAACGTAACGTTATACTGTTGTGAATAAACATTTATTTCTTGTCGTCGATTTAACAAATAAAGGTTATCTGTGTGGTGAAGAGCAGCGTGACAGCCTGGCTTTGAGATTATGTAGCTAGCTAGCTTACACTGAGTTTCTTCACGTTTGATTTTTGACCTTTTTAGACAATAAACCTATTAGAGGTTAACAATAGCATTCACACAGATACTTACAGAGGGTGTGCTTTTTGACTGGGCCACACGAGATCCTGTTTTTTAAAGAGAAAGTGTAGAGGAAGTTGGACGTCTTTCTGTCACCACGAGGTGGGGATAGAAGATAATAATAATAAAAAAAAGACTCCACTGCAGGTGCCGTATCTCGTTTCTCATACTCTGTAGTCTAAAATAGATGCTGCTGCCCCTGACTGTGTCAGTGCCAAAGGCCCCTTCTAGAGCCTGCAGATATTTACATTGGAGAAACAACCGGTTTTCAGGCCCACAAAAAAACATCCTCAGTATTAAACTCACACTCACTGCCAAATGGCATCTTGCCCTTTCCCAGGCTGCAATTCCCACAGGTTTCCCTTGTTGTACTGTTGTATTTATTAAATTTTCATTTATTTTTTTAAATTTGAGGACAAATGGATAGAAATGCAGTACTAGTACTATACAGTACTGCAGTTATTTCACCGCTAGTAATATCTTAATGTTTTTCCTAGGAGAAAGGGGGGGGAAAATAAGAGTTTGTATAATTCTTAACAAGCTTGAAAGTCCATATTTGGTCTGACAACCTTTGTTGTTCAACATAGCCTGAACTTTCTTAGGCAAGCCTCAGGAATAGTTCTCTAGGCTTTTTGAAGGACATTCAAAGCTCTTCTTCTCCTTAGTCCAGATGATCTTGCACTGCTTCAGTCATGTTGAGCTTTGGGGAGGCCAGTCCATAACTGATAGTCTTCCACTGTGTGCTTTTCTTTCCAAGCATTAAAATGCCACTGGCTGAAGTGCAGCCCCAAACCGTGACGGATTTGCCACTGTGTTTTACAGAAGGCTGTAGACCAGGGGTCTCCAACTCCAGGCCTCGAGGGCCAGTGCCCTGCATGTTTTAGATATCACCCTGGGTCAGCACACCTGAATCAAATGATTAGTTCATTACCAGGCCTCTGGAGAACTGCAAGACATGTTGAGGAGGTAATTTAGCCATTTAAATCAGCCGTGTTGGATCAAGGACACATCTAAAATCTGCAGGACACCAGCCCTCAAGGCCTGGAGTTGGACACTTCTGCTGTAGGCACTCACTGTTGTACTCTGTTCTCACCGCATCTGTACAAACTGACAACTATTTGAACGAATAATTTCAAATGTGGATTCATCACTCTATAAGATCTATTACCACTGATATTCAGTCCAGTTCTTGTGTGAACTGGAGTAATTCAGCCTTTCTTCCTTGTTTCCCTCACTTAAGAATTGCCTCTTGACAGCCACTCTTCCAGTGAGGCATTTCTTATATTACTTAATGGAACAACTGAAGGATCAGATGCATCTCTCAGGTCCTGTGTCAAGTCTTTGCTAGATTTTTAAAAAATTTTTTTTTTCATATTTCTTCAGGATGTGACTTTTTTTTAGGGACACACTGCACACCATGTTGAGAGATGCCAATTTTCTCTGGCTAGGGAATTTTTCATAGATTCAGCTAAAAAACAAAAAAGTGAACAAATTATGTAATTTTGCAATAAGCTGCCAGTAAAGTGCCTAAAGACTGAATTTAACATTGGGTCTTTGGAAACTTCTGTAGACAGGATTCATAGGGCAAATTAATAAATGGTTCAACAAAAAACCAAAAAAAGCACACAATGTTATAGTATTAAAACTTTGCCTAAAGATGGCCGTGTTTACACATATTATCCAAAAAATATCCATTTATTGTGACAGTGAGATATTTCAACAATGTGTTTTGTTGTTCCTTCTTTCTACACCTACAGAGTGATAGCGGCACCTCATCCTGCAGACAGAAATGAGCCATACTACTCCAGAGGCCTCGGGTTTGTACCATAGTTTTCTCACACAGAGACCTCCTATTAAGGTTTCTTCCAAACAAAAAAGCCCATTTAGGTAAACTGTAGATTTGGTGGTGGCTATGAAGACTAACACACAGCTGATTAACATCAGTGACATGTACATTTGGAAGAGAGGAATGCTCTTTAAAAAAACAAGACATCACGAGCTTTGCAATAAATTTATTTTTTCAAACATTTTTGTTAATTGAGTTTCATTTACTCAAGCATAACTTTTTTTCAAAAATCTGATGGTCACAAATAACAGGAAAGCTTCTATCAAAAAAGCTTACGCAGAGTTATTGTGTTTTTGCAACAATCCTGGTGTTTAATACATACGGACCAAAGGCCAGAACCAGTCCACCAAAAGGTTCAAATTTTTTTTGTAATTAAAGTTTTTATTATTTTGAACATTTAAACTAACATAACATAAGAACACAAAACAACAAAAACCACACAAAATTATAAATAATAAAAAAAATTTGTTCTCTTAGAGTCTCTGTTTGCTGCTCAATCTTCCCAGCATTTTCTCGCATGCAGCATTTTCAGTCATTTTCAGTCATTTTCTCCTCCACATTTTCAGGGTTGGAGTCCGAGGCTCTTTCCAGAGTGTTAAAATAAGACGAACAAACGTCACAAGCCCAGTGTTTAACACTCTGAAGCCTGCTTTGTCTAACTGTGGCACCTCGCCTCTGTCCCCCAGTAGGCACAGTCTCGGTGATCTAAGTAATTGAAATGTCACCCAGCCCTCTATATATTTTAAAACATTTTCTCATATTGGGGAGACCCCCAAAAGGGTCAGATTTGACCAAATTGGAAAATGTGAAATTTCAAAGGAGGGCAACATTTTAAGATTTTCACAGCTGCCTTACTAATAAAAACATCACCCATGTCCTTGTGTAAAACACCAAAGTAAGTTATTGTTTTCCATTAAATAACTGAAAAGTACAGAGTTTTGTAGGATTACATTCCTGAATTGAATCTTATACTTGTTATACTTGTCTACCCTTTAGGCATGTGTCACTCTATATTTGGTGGAATCAGCTTGTAGTGGGTCAATTACGAAGAGGCAGTTAACGTGTAAACACGGGTTTAATAAGCATCAAATTCTTCAAGTCCTTATATACTCCTCCATTTCACCATTCTGTGATAGCACCTGTTGAAAGCCTTTTCCAGCACCTCCAACAAAATTCAAAAGAAGAGAAGTACTTGTTGAAGAATGTTGTGGCATCCTTCCAGTGAAGTTGAGCCACTTGCGCAACCACTGCCAAGTCGCACTGAAACTGTTCTGGTGGCTGTAATGACACCAAATGCCCCTTTTAGACACTTGATCTTTGTGTTTCCTTTATTTTGGCAGCTGCTTGGCAACATGCAGTCAGACTTGTCTGTGGATTTAAAACCGTCTAATTTTCACTGATATTTTATCTGCCTACAAACATAAATTCTAAAGATGCACTCGGATAAATTGCATAATTTCTCCTCCAAATTTCTGATTTTCTCACGTTCACAAAAAAGAAAGGAAAAGAGTCACCTTCTAAGGGGTGAATGAGTGCATGTTCTCTGCATGTGTCTCTGTATTTGTATGTGGTGATAGGGTTATTATGTTATAATGAATGGGGAGCCTCTAGCTCTGTCATTCATCCACTAGCCAAGAGTGTAAAGAAGCTACATGCTCAACATTCCTCTCCTCTCTCCCCTTCTCATACAAACAGCGAGACTGAAGTGGGTTGTGGTGTTTGTGTGAGTCCCTGTGCACGTACCCTATGCATGTTCGGCAGCAGGATGAATGAGCGCGGGCAGGGTGCATAACAGAAAAGGAAACTCGGCGGCCTTTCAAATGTTGAGAACCGTTAAGTGGACTTTTGTGATGCTGTTTTTTATGCATGTCATAATCCATTTCATACAAAGCCACCGTGGGTAATAAAAAAGCAGTTTTGTCAAGTAGCTGAATATAATTTAATGTCAAGTAGAATTAAATTAAAAACACTGATAGATTTTAGGAAATGATCTAAAACAAATGTAAAGTTTGCTCTTTGTGGATCAAAACATGGCAATACACGGATGTACTGCAATTTAGTGAATTGCAAATTCACTAATTTAGCGTGAGTTTATTAAGAGAAGCTGGAGAATTGAAAGGAAATGTTGATTGATTGAGGGGAGAAAACGAAAACAAGCTCTACTAAAAGGGCCGCTGCAGGAAGATGAATGTAAAATTCATCTTTAACGGGGAACATAATAGGCAAAAAGTGTCACACCAGGAGAGGTGCAGCAAAGAAAGAGGCCAGCTCAGAGAGAGGAGGGAGAGGTCTTTTCGTCTGCTTTCCCAGGCTATGCATCAGGAAGGCTGTATTTTTTACACCATGACCAGCGCATAGCCTTTTCCTGGGGAAATCCGAGACAAAATCAAGAGAGACTGGTGCAGGGAGGGAGAGGAGAACAGGAAAAGTAGCCCTGGGAAGGAAGAAGGGTTGCGGCGGTGGGGGCAGATACGGTGGAGGCCACACAGCATGAGTGACAGAGAAAGAAGCTGGAGTTTTTGGGAATGCTCCGTGGAACACACGCACAGGCAGACACAAATTGTAAAACACACACGCATGCTCACAGCTTCTCTTGTTTCCGAGCTCTCGTACCCACCATGGCATTCCTAAAATGTGCTTCGAGAGTCTTCTCTGGAGTATTTTGGCTGCACATTCAGCTGGAATGCAGAGCTAATGCTCGGTTCCTCTACTGTCCAACCAGCCTCAGCTGTTAATCCGATGTTATGGCTGCTCTGCTGTGCCTGTTAAAGAAATAATGTTTGACGTTATGGCTGCTCTGCTATGCCTCTTGTAACAGTATTTTCTAGTGGATCATGTTACTGCCAAGTTAAGAATTATGTGAGACAGAAAATAAGAATTCAAAAGATTGGGCAAACAAATTTAACCTTTTGTTTACAAGAATTGGGGAGGGGGTCAACAGTATAAATTGCTTTAAATCTGTGCAAAACGTATAGCGCCAACTTGTGGCTTTTGGGGTTTTTTTCAGAGGATTTGCATCTTTGAACAGGTCAGTTTTCACAAAAAGAGCTCTTATAATACCCCAAAAAGACATCCATTGAAATAGTTTTAGTTTAAAATAAGTATAACTCCACCTCTGATTCCTTAACATGTCAAAGGTCAAAGTGAAATCCCACTGTGTGTGTGTGTGATTGTCTCTGTGCCTGTGTGTGCAATATGCCCCCAGGTCTTGACCCTGCCATGCTGAGAGACCAACTCTTCGATCTGTGGAACTGGAAAGATCTGCAGATGGTAAGAGTCACTTTCACAGCGTGTGTCAGGTCCATATATGCAATACTGAGTGTGTGTGTTTACAAGGGTAGCAGGATTGGAGCTTTTGTGTGTCTGTATGAAGCATTTGCACAGGAAGGAACAAGTGAGAGAAAACCCTGAATCCTTAAATGAAGCTCACCTGTGTGTGTGTTTGTGTGTGTGTGTGTTAATGAGGAAACCAGACTGCCTGTCAGTAGGAAGGAATTTGTGTTGCTCTGAATGAACTTGAGATCTGTGTGAGTAGGATATTGAGTGCTTAACATCTGGTTTGCAAATTAAAACAGAGTCTGGATTTGTCACTCATATATTATTTTCTCGTGTAGGAAGTTAGAGATTGTTGTTTTTTTTTATTACTTTTTACACAAAATGTCTCAAAAGACTCATATATGCTGATGGAGTTAAGGCATTTTCTGACTCTAACTTGAGTGTAACACTTTGGCTTCACAAAAACATTTTTGAAAAATCCACTTTAAAGTCATAATAGTAAAACAGAGTAAGCAAGTGCTCAGAGTTGTCCACAAGGTTTAGATTCGAAGTAATCTACCATCACACTTTAATGTTTTATACATTCATTCAACCTTCTCCTCTATTATAGTTTTACCACTCCCTTCTCCTCTGTCCACCCACAGCTACATTTGGCAGCCCTCCAGGGATTTTCAAAGCTGTCTGAGCCTCTAGAGGCCTTACTAACAATCCTGGAGAGTTGTCCGGGCAAACAGAAAGGTCGGAGCCACACCCTTGGCCATCACATACTCATGGAATTCCAGACATGGATTAAGGAACATCCTCAGGTAGATAGGCAAGCAGTTACAAACCTGCTGTTGTGGTTAGCAGTCCGACTTTTTCATCCTTTTGTGATTTTGAACTGTACACAAAGGCTTGCTGACTTTATAGTTGTGCCATCATTGAGATATTTGAAAATGAATACCTGAGCAATTTATTTTATTAGTGCAGACTAACGAACCTTCTCATTAACACCTCTGTACTAGTGTAGTATTCTTTAGTGTTTTAAAAGGGTGTTTTTGATTTCTGTTTTGGATTGGGGGTTTGTGTTCTTCATACAGGTCAATCTGAGTTCAGTGTCGGAACAGCAAGCAGTGGCACTCCAACAGCGTGCTCTCAACTTGCTAACAGATACCCAGCCAAACTTTGTAGACAGTCTCATAAACATCTACCAACTCAGTTCACTGGATCCAGCCATACTCCGATTGCACATTACTTGGTTGCATGCTCTCAGCTTCTACAAAGAGGTGGGTGCATGATTTCATGATATTATTGTTGTTATTGCAGAAATGTTTAAGACAAAATAAAATCATAGAAAGTGAAATTTATAACCCCCACAGGCAGCAACGCTCGGTATTAAGCTGAACTTACAGGAAGAGTTAAATATGGAGGAGGTGAGATATCCAGTCTTTGTTGTCCTTGTATTTATTTATTAATTAACCATCAAATGTCTCCTATATAAACTCACTATTAAATCTCTATCCAACTTCCTAAATTTTCATCTCCTATGTTATTCTGCAGATGTGTGTACCACTAATCGTGCAGGATAAGATGTCGGTGGCCGTGTCCTTTGTCTCAGGCTACAGTCATCTAGAGGAACGATTGGTTAAACTTCTAGACTCTTGGTGTCACCCGAGCTTCTGTGTGGAAGAGCTAAACAGGTATGGTACACGTATGTGAACTTGATACAGGTGTCGACATGCAGAGCCTTAAAAGAAAAAGAAAAAAGTTGTGTAACTGTGTGGGTACGCATGTTTCCACAGTCAGTTCCCTCGCCTTAATCTGACCAAACAACGGATGGAACAGATTCAACCGAAAATGCTCACCAAACACGTCCTGCGACTCATGGAGAAATTCAAGATTGATAAAGGTGGATGATTGGGTGCATGTTTCGTTCATGCATATTGCAGGTGGATGTCTCGGGCAGAAATTGTAGTGACCTTGTCTTTTTGGTGCAGGACTGTGTCCCAATGCACTGCACAAGAGGAGACTAGACTCTCTGCGTTTCCTCATGTACAAGAGGTTTGTGGAGGTAAGTGATGGAGCAGATGTTCAGTTTTATTTCAACGTCATTATTTTTTATTACGTGCTGTCATCAGCATTCACCTTTAGTTCTTTAGCTAAACTGTTCAGAGTGAAGTAAACCAATGAAAATGAAAGACAGATATAATTTTTGTTTGTTTTCCAACAAAAAATTATTTCTGACATCTGTTTGTTTTTTGCCAGTAAAAAACAAACAAATAACTTAGATTTGTACAGCACCTTTCAAGAAACTCGAGGACGCTTTACAAAACATTAAATAAACTCTAAACTCATTAGGAAGGGCATAAATGTGATCAGTGTGTTTAACAAGCTCGTGAGTTTCCCTGCTAACTTACAGTTCAGTGAGCTGTGCTTTAGTTTTTACGTAGTGATATACAGCTATGTGAGAGTAAATGTTTTCACGAAATTCTATGCAGTCCACTCTTACTACTTTTATAGGAACTTAAAAGGTGATGTAGCAGCCAGGTTCTGCTAATCAAATACAGTTGATTGATTTGACAGTTTGCTGGTCTGGAGCGTTCAGCTATGCGTTAACACAGTGCCATAATCTTCCCAGCAGTCCATGTCCCAGCAAATTTCACTCCAAGGTCAGACTGTGCAATGCTCAGAGAAATCCCAGGACTATAGCTTCAGTTAGCATGTGAAGAACTGAAGTAGGGTACAGTTAGAAAACTGAACAACTGTGGCTTGTTTGGAAGGGTTGCCAAGAGAAAAGCTTCCTCCCTCTAAAAAGAACGTGACAGCAAGTCTTCTGGGACAATGTACTTGGACAAATGGAACCAAAGTGGAGATGCTTGATCATAATGCATGGCTCCATGTTTGGTGAAAACTAAGCAACGCACAAACACCTCATACCAACTGTCAAGCACAGTAGTGGAGAGATTTGTTTTGCAGCCACAGGACTTCGGTGCCTTGCAGTTACTGAGTCAGCCATGAACTCCTCGGTATAACAAAGTGTTCTAGAGTCAGATGTGAGGCCATCTGTCTGACAGCTAAAGCTGGGCTGAAATTACTTCATGCAACAGGTCAATGATCCCAATCACAACAGCAAATATACAACAACATGGCTGAAAAAGAAAAGATTCAATGTGTTGCAATGGCCCAGTCAAAGTCCAAACCTCAGTCTGCTTGAAATGCTGCGGCGGGACATTAAGAGAACTGTGCATAAACAACTGCCTGCAAAACTCAATGAACTAAAGCAATGTTGTAAGGAAGAGTGGGCCACATTCCTCCACAATGATGTGAGAGAGTGATAAAGTCATACAGAAAATAACTACTTCAAGTTTATGCTGCTAAAGTTTGTTCTGCAAGCTATAGAATCAATAGGTATACTTAGTTTAGTCAATAGAACTTATTTTTCCACTTGACTGTATGTATTATTTTTTGTGAAGTAGCAGTTCAAAGTGCAATTTAAACAAAAAAGCAGAATGTGGTAAGAGAGTGTCAAATCTAATTGTGTGACATAAATGCACAAAAGGGGAAATATAAAGTTTACTAAAAGCTTTTGAAACCCTCGTCTGTGTGCTTAAGAGAAGAAATGATTTGTTTCGATAAGTTAGAGAAGATAATTAAGTCTTACCGTCACTTTAACTGACACTGCTTGCAGAGGATGAAAATGTAGACTGAGGACTAGTAGACAATATGATCAGATATTATTATTATTGAATTTTCAGTTTAGCAGTACCCTATTGTTTAGCTGCCAAATTCTCCTCACATTGTAGATTAAAAATTGTAATGAAGAATAATTAAAAATAGCATTTTGTATCTTTTTTTCTTCGTAGAAAGGCATGACAGAAGAGAACTGGATTGACCATGTACAAGTGGGTTTGTATGTGTTTATATGTGACTTGATGAAGCCTAAATTTGTATGGCGCTATGTCTTGTATGCAGTAAGTTTATTGTTGTGTATGTATAGTATGTAGTGGCAGATGACCTTGAGCTGCAGATCCACTTGGTGGAGATGTTGGTGAAGTACTCTTGTCTTCGGAAAGCCTCCCAGTGGTCACTGAGATACAGCATCCCCAGATATCGACTTCCCTGTGGAGTATGGGAAACCCAGCAGAGTCTACCACGTGCTCTACAGTAAGTTGGCCAGAACATGTATAAACATCTTCTGTTACGCAAATTGTGGTATGTACAAACTGTATTTTTTATATAAAGGGAACTGTGGAGTCTAATTTTTCTTCTCCACATCCTGTTTCTCACATATTACTTACTGATTTCATCCTGCTTTTGCAACAGCTTCTCAATGCAGTCTTATAAACAAAGCTTTTGTGCTCACTTGGTTCTTTTTCACTATTTACATATTTCGCTGATTCACTCGACTCATTCATAACACCTAATGCATTGTTTTAGTCACTTTTTTCCCTCCTATTTGGTTATCAGTTTGCCATTATAGAGCACACAGTCTTTTATTTGCACATTCATAAAAAATACACATTTCTCACCTCTGCTCAGACAGATATCTCTGAGTGATACTGCAGAAACTGAGGAGTGGGAGCTAGCTCAGTCTCACTGTGAGAAGTTCTACCAAGTGCCACTTACCAAAGACAAGGTGCACTTTGTGGACACACCAGAAGCTCTCGAGAGATGTCAAAGCATTCTGCTCAAGGTACAGAGGATTAAACAGCACCTAATGATGGGAAAAGTCTGTATTTGCAATCATGTATTATTCAACTTTCTCTCCTGTGTTCTGCTATCTGTCCTTTCTTAGAAAGGTGTTGTAGTCGGAGTTGACATGGAGTGGCAGCCAACATTTGGCTGTATCTCAACTCAGCAAGTGGCCCTGATACAACTTGCAGTTTCTGATCAGGTTTTCCTAATAGACCTCTGTGCTAGGAGATTCTGTGAGCACCCAGAAACAATTTGTTTCATCAGGAGCTTGTTCTCCCAACAAAGTGTCCTTAAACTAGGTTAGCATGTATTCAGTGTTATATCCAAGTCATTCGCCTTTTTTTTTCTTTTTACATACTTTGGTCTCCTACATTTCTCCTTTTATTGCAATTCAGGATATGGTATGGCCAGTGATCTTAAGTGTCTGTTGGCCACCTGGCCCCAGTTACAAGAGGACCCACTGAAAATGGAGGGGATGCTTGATCTTCTAAGTATACATAAAAAAGTAATCTTTCTTTTCATTTCCATAACTTAATATAACGCAGTTTCTAAATGAAATCCTGCACTGTTTAAAATAAATGATTGTTTTATGCTATTTTATGTCTGTAATTTGTAATGTAGATTCAACATAGTGCACTCAGCCGGACTCAAAATGGCCCTAAAGAGGTACTGGTGGGAGAGGACTGTGCAGAAAAGGGCCTCAGTCTGTTGGTACAACAAGTCCTGGGAAGGCCCCTGGACAAGACAGAGCAGATGTCCAACTGGGAGAAGCGGCCTCTACGCATCAGCCAAATTAGATATGCAGGTAAGGTATTGTGCACGCACAGACAGACAATGACAGAGAGACAGATGGTCGCTGCTCTCTTCTCAATAGAATATCAGAGATTATTTTGTTATCCCCTGATGAACTGCAAACCAATAAATCCCCCCTTTTCCCCCTCTCTTTCTTTTGCTTCTTAACATCTTCTAGTGGCAGATGCCTACTGTTTGCTGGAAGTGTACTCTGTCCTCTCCCGCAACCCAGCATCTTTTGGGCTGCCTGATGACCTGCGCAGCATATCTTCAAGCCAATCAGAGAAGAGCAGAGACAAGAAGCTGAAGGAGAAAAAGGACAAGCAAACAAAACAGACCCTTGAGAAAGAGGTCAGGGATCAGTTGCCTTTTCTTCTTTTTTTTAATACATCTTTATATCTATATCTAGATAGGTAGGTAGAAAGGTGTGTCTGTGTGTGTGAGTTGGTATAGCTAATAAACTATGAATATTCAGCTGTTTGATTTATTGACATCGTTATTAGACATTATTAACAGGAGCAGAACTGGCTGTTGCAGTAACTCTGCAGCATTCAGACCTGTGTGTGTGTGTGTGTGTGTGTGTGTGTGTGTGTGTGTGTGTGTGTTTGTGTGTAATAGTCAAACCTTTACACCTGTGTGTAAAAACCAAAGACGCTGAACTCATTTCGGATGGGGGAGAACAAAAAGTAGAGAAATAAAAGTCACTGCCATGAGTGATAAGATAAGCAATTTTCAAGTCAAACTTCTTATCTTACGTTAAGAAAACACTTTACCACCTGAGCCACAACCTTATATAGATTTTTTTCCCCAACATGTAGTAACTGTGCTTGCTGGTCTAAGAGGTAGAGAAGTTTAAAAGCTGTTTTATCTTTATATTTATTTCAAGAGTTCAGTTTTAAATATTTTTCCCACTATTTCACAAAAGTTCATTAATATACTTGACCTGCTTTGTTCATATTTTACTTTTATTTGTTTTTGGTAGGTTTCATAACCTTATATCCAACCTGGACATGTTGGAATTCTACTGTGAATGCAATTAACAATTATCAGTGTTGTTGAGACCAAAACCAAACAAGGGACCTAGTAAACAGTTTCCTTATAGAGGGTCTTTGCATCAGAGTGGCATTTTAATACTTGAAGCAAAGAGTATGTATTCAGTTAGGGTTTTTTTGCCTTTTTAATAATGCAGAATTTCATGCAGAAACATGATTGCAGTCACCAGCAGGATTACTGTAGGTGTTGGTTCCGCTTCATAGACAGCAACCAACCTATTTACATGTAAAGCAGAATCTGCTAATTTAGCTATTCATTCTTCTGTGATAAATTTTCATGTTACATGTAAATGCTAAAACCTCTTACTGAAAACCCAACTTTTGAGCCTTCAGCCTGTAAGGAGGGACAATAAGTCATTGACAAAGACACTTCAGCAGTTCCTAGCAGCTCCAGGGGTGCAGATTTAAAGCTCACCCAGTGCTATAGCCTCCCTGAACTGTGGTGCAAGTGAAAAGAAAATCCCCCTATGGGGATCGGTTAAGTATCACATTATTGTCTCTGTCCATTTAGGAATGTCAGGGGGCTCAAAGGGTCAGCCCCTCTTGTTCAGATCCAGAGAAAGGCGTCTTGTATGGTGAGAAGCCTTCAGAAGATTCCCCACCGCTACCCCCTCAGCAGTTGCGGGTGGTGTGTGACAACATGCTGCAGGGACTCGGAAGATACCTGCGTTGTTTAGGAGTTGACGTGGTCATATTGGAGAACACTGATGATCACAGGGTTGCAGCTAAGGTTAGTCCTGCTAGTTTTTCTAAATATTCACATTTTCCACAGAAAAAGCCCTTGGGATGTCACAATATCAGATATTTGGTAATCAGTGCTGTTACCATTTAATTTTCACTTTTTCCATACCCCATTTATTCATATCAAAAATAAATTGAATGAATGACCTCATTCCAAAGGATGTTGCCACATACTTACGCTGCTATATTGTGATGTTATTAATGGTATTGATGTCAGCCTTAATGATCCTAAAAATATAAGCTTGACTCACGCCACAGCTACTTCACTGCTGAAGCCCAGAGATGGCATGATTAGGTATCCACAAGTCTTTCCTCCTGTAGTTTTTATGCAAATGGTATTAGAAAGAACTGATCGCTTTTAGCTATTCATAACGTTTTCCTGGTCAGTTCAAATCATAAATATCTGCACAAATTAGAGCAGACCTGTTCCTACACCTAGACTTGCTTCTACTAGGCCAAAAATTACTGTGCCGTAGCATCTTCAGAACCTATATTACCATATAAAAACATACCATAATGTTTTCAGAATTTTGTGTACCAAAGTACATTTCAAGCATGAGTGTCATTACCGCATACATTTATTGTACTCTTTTGTTCTTGTGTGAATTTGTTGTGTCTCAGTTAGCGCAGGCTGAAGGCCGTGTCATTCTTACATGTGGACAACCATTCCAAACTGTAAGTACACATGAACTCAAAAACAAATCTAAAATCTAGGGAATGCTGATGCACTGTGCGCTTGTTTTCATGCATTGGTGTGTCTGACTTGTTTCCTGGTACACATAGTTTGTCTGTATCTTCCCGTACAGTTGCGTTCCCAGGTGGCGGAGGGTCGCTGTCTCTCCCTAGCCTGCTCAGAAAAGGCCAGAGACCAGGCGGTTCGAGTTCTCAAACACTTTAACATCCAGCCCACTCCCAGTGATATATTCAGCCGCTGTCAGGTATTTCTGTCTATGAAAATATTTGTTTATGCGGTGTGCTACACACTTGTACATGATTTTCATAATCTTTTGTGGATAGTTAGAGTGAAGTTGTCTGCAGGGACGAAAAGTTCACAACAGACAAATGAAGAAAATAATACATGACTTGATGCAGAGTTGGATACAGATAACATCTGTGTAATTCAACAGTTAGTCCAAAATATTAATTTATCTTGCTTACTACTTACATTTGGCTCATACACAACTTTAATCAAGAGAAACACAAGAACTATAGTTGTTATTTTAGTGAGAAGTATTATGAATGGAAGAATTTCGTAATTTTTTTTAAAAGCTTCTGCTTGAGTAAAGGAGTCGAATTCAAAGGAAAAATGCTTGTGGTAAAGGTGGTATGTTTAACACAGAAAGAAAGTGGAAGCATTTCTGAACTCTTTACTGGCAAGACTACCAGGAAATAAAGTGCTGACAGCATGGGAAGATGTTGAGCATTCTTATGTTCCTTATGTTGGAGATGGAAAAGAGACTTGCACTTGTGGTTAAGCCCTGCATAAAATCACAGGGTTTGGCTCACCTCTCACCTCTCACCCAACACGCACGCACGCACACACACACACACAGAGGAGTAGGGATGGGTATCGTTTAGGTTTTATCCGATACCGGTGCCAAACTGGTACTTTTGAAACGGTGCCGGTGCTCAAACGGTGCTCAAACCGGTGCTTAAAGAATGGAGAACACAAAATTAGTCCAAAAACCTCTCATGTTTAGCTGTTTTTTTGTAAAAAGATAACAATGTTAGCCTTTTCTGCAGCTATGGGGCATATATGGCATCACTCTTGGCTGGAAGCAGTGCTTAAACAATGGAAAAAACACAAACTTTGTCCAAAAACCACTCATGTTTAGCTGTTTTCCACTTTTTCTTTGGTCATTTTAGCCTTTTTGTCCAGGGTGAAGGGAGCATCTGCCATCAAACAAGAGGACAGCCGCATGTAGCTATGATGATGTTTGCTAGTTCACCTTACATGCATTAATGTAATAACGTGGTTAGCCTACTCAACGTAAATTACACACGAACAACATTAAGCTACTCACGCAGAGAAGAACGGCTGCTGCATCATCATCCGCCATCATTTCTGCTACACTGGCAGGGCTAGGGGCCAGGACTCTCCTCTTCGTGTTTTGGGGGATGTTGCTAACTCCGGGTCCGATAACAGGCACCACACCCGCAGAATCAGAATACTTTATTGATCCCTGGGGGAAATTATTTATGCGCTCGGTGTGAGGTCTCGCAGCAAGCTATCAAGTACGGCGCATTTTTTGGCTTTTAAAAAAAACACTATGCGTCGCCAGGTGTTTCATCGTATTTGAGGTGTTACCTCCTTTGCACAGTGTCACAGTATCAGCTTAAAGCACTTGTTGCAGGCTGCTGAGTTTGCATCTTTTGCTGTGAAGTACAGCCAGACTTTTGACCACTTCGCCTTGGGCATTTTAATCTGTAGCTCTGCTCTAAAAGAACGTACGTACCTGGCCCCGCCTACTATCCTCGGAAACGTAAAATGATTGGCTAGAATTCAAAGTGTATGACATCTCAGGAAAAAAAAGCACCGAAATAAAGCACCGAAATGTGCGCTGCTTTTCAGTCTGGTTACTACCGTTTATGTCAGAACCGCTGCCATAATGGCACCGGATACCGGTACCCATCCCTACAGAGGAGTCAACAGGGAGATCCCTTACCTCACTGTATTTTGTGGTTTTGTTCACGAGAGATTTTATGATGTAAGATATTAACAAGCTGATTGGTGTAGGGTGTATGTGGGTGTTGTAGTAGTAGCAGGGAGGCTAAACAAATGTATTCAGCAGTAAATCTAAGGTCATCTTTAGTAAAAGGAGGAGGAGGGTGAAGTCAATCCACGTTACCTTTATGTTCAAAGTAGCCATTTTAGAGCATCCAGAGTATCTAATTATTATCCCCCCTGAGCCAGACTCCCTCTTTGTGGAGGTATTCTCAGCATGTCCAAATGGAGGAAGACCCTGGGGCAGACCCAGAAGACTCCGAATGGGATTGCATATCCCATCTGGTCTGGGAATTCCTCAGCAGGGCCTGGAAGATGTTGTGAGGAAGTGGGATGTCTGCGTTTCATTGTTTAGCTTGCTGCCACCACAGTCTTGACCAGTGCCACTGTTGGGTGATGGGGGAAGATGTATAAAAGATGCAAAAACTAATGGATATGGAGAGTCAAACATGCAGTGGTTCACTAAGAAAATTTACCATAATGCTGTGGATGAGAAGTAGCTTTAAGATGAAGACTTGATTTAAAAACATGGAAAATAGAAAATAAAGGAATTTAACTGAAGAAGGAATAAAGCTGAATAATTATCTGCTTCCTAACAAGCATGTGTGTATCCATAAGTAATACTAAAGTAGCAGCTCATGTTTATTATTCAGATCCATATTTTATCATGGTTGCGGAAAATATGTTAAAACAGTTACACTGCATCAATAACAGTCTGATTTATAGTACCTGACCTACAGATATCTCTGTGGGTGGCTGTTTCAGAGGGGCTATGTGCCCCTGTGTGTGTTTGTGACTGGGAGTGGAATCAGTAGAGTTTAAAACTTGGGTGTTCTAGCGTTCTTCTAGGAGGGGGTGAGGGGTGGCGAATTTGTCAAGACATCACCAGCTGCATTCCTTTTTTTTTTTTGACCACCTTGATGCTACCTCCTGTTCTGATGATATGATGAGGATCACACAAAAAAGCAGCAATTGACCATTGGCTAAATAGTCATCCATCTACATCCTTTACTTTAGTACACACTTCCTACACAACTTCAAATAAGTCACTCCAATACATCCCATATAAATGCTGAATAGCATATTTAAATTATTACATTTTCCCACATATCTAGTTACATCTCTGGCACAGAGTTTTTTTCATTAGTTCATTCAGTGAAAAGCTCTTTCAACCACTTCCATCTCTCCTGCTGCCACTTTTTTAAAAACAGACTGACCAATGTTATCTTAATAAAATGTTTTCAGAATTATTATTATTATCAAAAGTAATATTGCTCAAGTATAATACAGTCGAACCTCCCCCCCAATTAACGGTTCAGTATTCACAGATTTTTTCCATAGATCAAAATTATTTGCAGATGTCTACGCTGCCAGTTCACCGCGTAGACATCTGCTGTTCAAGTGTTTCACGTATTTGTGTACTTTGTGTGTCTTTGTCTCTCGTTTTTAATCTAATTTGACTTTAAAATGATTTTTAAGTGTTTTGGGATGACAGTTTCAGGTGTATTTGATGTTTGAACTATTAAAATAGGCAGTTATAAAGGGGGTCTCAAGTATTTGCGGTTATTGTCACACCGGGGGTTGACTATATTCCTTTTCATTATTTGGTTAAATGATATTGAAGATTAATAATACATTTCAGTCAGTTGTTTGTATTAAAGTTTTGTTGACCTTTGCTTAAATTGTAAAATATTGTAGGGGTGTG